TCCTCACCTGCAGAGTGGGGGCTTGGGCGGTACCTCCCGCTCCTCTGTGCTGAGCGTTTTGGGGGACAGGTTTCAGCCCCCGCTGGCCCTGTGCTCCCTGCCCTCTCCCCAGGCTCCCGTGACTCACCCTGACCGTCGGGGTCTTCAGAGAAGCGTAGCCTTGCCGGTCGCCAGGGCTCCCACCCTCGGGGCCGGGGCAGGTGCCAGGGACAGCGCTTCCCTGCTGCTCACGTGGCTTCCGCCGAGCGCGGCCGGGCTGAGGTCGGGCCTGCGACCCTCTGAGATCTCCCGTGCTCGCTGCCTGCCCATCTTCTCCCAGGTTCCGCAGGAGGCTCAATTTTCATCCCATGAATATTAATTCGTTTGCCATGGGGGCTTGTTCTGGTGACATATTTTCTTGTTAAATATTCATGGCGGGAGCCAGAGGTGCACCCGGACTGGCTATTACGGGGGAAATCGGAGCAAGTCGCCATTAACCACTGCTGACAATTGTTTCCGATCTGTCCCCTGCCCTTTGCAAGACGGCGTCCCTGTCAGGGGACGTCCACGCTGACACTGCCCGGGAGTGGGGAGTGCTGTGGGTGGCAGGCGCATGCCCGCCCCTGAGATTCCTTTGCTTGTTTTTTTTTTTTTTTTTCTTTTGAGACAGTCTCACTCTGTTGCCCAGGCTAGAGTGAGTGCCATGGCGTCAGCCTAGCTCACAGCAACCTCAAACTCCTGGGCTCAAGCAATCCTCCTGCCTCAACCTCCCGAGTAGCTGGGACTACAGGCATGTGCCACCATGCCCGGCTAATTTTTTTCTATACATATATTAGTTGGCCAATTAATTTCTTTATATTTATACTAGAGACGGGGTCTCGCTCTTGCTCAGGCTGGTTTTGAACTCCTGACCTCTAGCAATCCGCCCGCCTCGGCCTCCCAGAGTGCCAGGATAACAGGCGTGAGCCACCGCGCCAGGCCCTTTGCCTGTTGTTGATATGCCAAAGGCCGGGCGAGCCCAAGGCCGCTCTGAGCGAGGGCCCGCCACCCATAGCCCTGGCCACGCCTGTCACCGGTCCGTGTGCATGTCTTCCTGCGGGCCTCGCACACGCTGGCTGTCAGGGGAAGGCATTTTCTAGACCAAACCCTCATCTCACAGATGAGAAACTGAGACTCAGAGACAGGAAGGGAGTTGATCAAAGTTCCGTTCACTCGCCGGTGAGAGAACGGGAGGAAAATCCATGACACAGGCGGCTCCCGGTTTGTAAAATCAAACCCGGTAATCTGCATCCTGTGGATTGTTCCCTCGAGGGCCGTTCAGATCCCCGAAAGACCTTTCAACACGGCCTGCTCATCAAACCATTTCAAACAGCAGATCAATCAGTCAATCAACAGGGCTCGGCCGACCCCTCCCGTTCCCAACACTTGCCTGGCGGGAGGAGCCCGGGATGCTGGCGCCGCGCACACCTGCGGGAGGAGCCCCCGCCGGCTGGTCCCGCATGGGCACCGTGCGGCCCTGCAGCACGCAGCCCCCAACCCTGCGCTCGCCCCTGGTTCCGTTTGGCCTAAGCCCGACAGAGCCGGGCTCCACTGCTGCCTCCAAGAACCTAAACCAGGCGTCCTCCGACTACAGTGCTCGGGCCACATGCGGGTGCTTTTGCCTGTTTGCTTGTTTTGTTTTTTTTTTATACTTCAAAATAAGATATGTGCAGTGTGCATAAGAATTTGTTCATAGTCTGTTAAAACTATAGTCTGGCCCTCCAATGGTCTGAGGGACAGTGAACTGGCCCCCTGTGTAAAAAGTTTGAGGACCCCTGACCCAAACTAATGTTGAGCATGAGCTGAAAATACTGGAGTAAATGTCCTGGTTTATTCCTTCTTGGGAATACACTGACTATTTTGGTGCTAAGAGCCTACTTAGCCCAGAGCGTCTGGCCCAAGTCCACTCTTGCTTTTGTTCTGGAACTTCCTTTTCCTTCGGTCACTCCTATTTCAGTCCTGCTGTCAGATTTTTCCTCTGACCCTCATGCAAAGGGACCGTAGGGCCGGTGGCAACCTGAGATGCATAGAGGCCAGCGGTCTCCATGCACAGGGCGAGCATGCCGGGGTCTGAGCATGCATGTGCGCTCGCTCACTCTCTCTCGGTCTCTCCCCCGTTACCATGTACATCTGTGCATCTCAGCACCTCGGGGAGGCAGGATCTTGCTCTGTGACAACCAGGAAGTTACCTGAAAACATCTTCTGTTGCCCCGCCCACCGATGCCCTAGCAAAGAGCTAACAGCCCTCCAAGGCTGAAAGCCAAAACCAAGTGTGATTTCTGAGCCAGTTCTCGGCCTAATGACTTTCCCCAGGCTCAAATACTGTGTTCTCTGCGACTGTTAGCGTCTTTCCTAGAAATTTTTGCTCATGGAGCCTCTGGGGCTGGTTGCTGTCCATGGTGGCAGAATGCTGCCTTGATCTGTCGGCTGGGAGCCTGACAGTTTGCTATTTTGTTACCCCATGCGGCTACGGAGATGAGATCTGATGGCTCCTCACGGTTTCAGGGCCGTGGCCTTCAAACGCCCTCGCAGACGGGCGTCCGTCTGTCCTGGTCTCTGCCCCCCGAGCCTCCCCGTCACGGTTCCTGGCATCCTGCTCTCCCTGCCTGCTCACAGGGCGGGCCCCACGCACCTGGCCGTTTCTGCGCTCGCCGCTGCTGCTGCTGCTTCTCAATTGCTGGCCCGGGAGATGAAAAGAGGAAGTTGTCGTGTGATGGGATGTGTCTGTGTTTCTCATATTTCCGCTGTGGCTTTAGTCTCTCCAGCCAGTAATCTCCCGGGAGCCTGCCCCTGAATCAGACCTGCTCCCTCCCTGCACCCTCCCCTGACGATGAGGCTTCCACTTTCAATGGACGAATATTTCCTTTAACACCCCAGGGCCCAGCCGGGTGACAGCACGCTCTGATTATCACAGATTACAATGACAGCAGTTTGTTGAGCATCTATTATGCTCCAGGCATTCCCCAAAATGACAGCCTAGCAGGCAATTATTTCCCCAACGCTACATATGAGAGCCCTTTTCTCTTAAACTGTGGTAGAATACACATAACGTAAAATGCACCGCATCAAGCATTTCTGAGTGTACAGTTCAGTAGCGTTAGTACGTTCACGTTGTCATAAATCAATATCCAGAACTTTTTTTTATCTCGCATACGTGAAACTCTACTCAATAAACAATAACCTTTCCCGTCCCCCAGGCCTGGCAACCTCCACCACTCCACTCTCTGACCCTGCGAATCTGACGGCTGCACACATTTCACATCCACGGGCTCATGTGCAGTGTTTGTCTTTGGGGACCGACTTATTTAACTTAGCATTGTGTCCTTAAGGTCCATCCGTGCTATAGCATCTGTTAGAATTTCCCTCCCTTTCAAGGCTGAATGATATTCCACTGAGGGTGTGGACCACACTTTCTTTATCTGTTTACCTGTCGATGGACACTCAGGTTGTCTCCGTATCTTGGCTGTTGTGACAATGCTGCTGTAACGTGGGGTGCAGACATCCCCTGAAGACCTTGTGTTTAATTCTGTTGGGTGTGTGCTCGGAAGAGGAATTGCTAGGTTATAGGGTGATTCAACTTTTAATTTTTGAGGAATTTCCATACTGCTTTTCCATAGCAGTTGCATCATTTGAAACTCCCACTAACAGCACACAGAGGGTCTGGTTTCTTCAAATCCTCGTCAACCCTGGTTATTTTCTGGGTTTTGATGGTGGCCATCCTAACGGGCGTGAGGTGCCTATGAGGTCTCTTACCGGTGGGTGTGCAGAGACCATCTCTGTGGCAGGACGGGGCCGGGCAGGTGCAGGTCTGTGGGTGGGGGCCCTGGCCCCTCACTGTGCCGGGCGCTGTGGGTGTGGTCACTCAGCCCTGTGTCCCACGATGGGCCCGTGGGCTCATGTCAGAGACACTGCCTGCCACTCCACACCGTTTCAATGCCTTCCCGGTAGCTGGGATCTAACGCTGGGATTGAAAGCTGATGCCTGGCGATCAGGCATCTCCCAGCAGTGCCCACCGCTGTCTTTTTAAAGCAATTGCATTTTCGGCACGCTCTAACCTGTGTCTCTGTGAGTGCAAGGGACAGTCCTTCTCCCCTGGGGCAGGGACGCCGACCACCTGTGAACAAGGACACCACCGCGTGTGTTTTTGTAGGATGCAGGGCTGCAGACGCAGCCGGCCCGGCCTCCCACGGTGGGGCCAGGGGCCTGTGCCGAGCTCAGCCTCAGGGACACGAGAGCCCCCGGGTGGGCAGAGGAAGGCAGAGGGACGGGTGGACGTGCTAGCCAGCCCAGGGGAGGCAGACCCTCCTCCATGTCCAGCCGTCACCTGGTTGTGTGACCTTGGACCTATGACCAAAAACCTTTGTTTCGCCTGCGGAGCACCTGCTTCCGGCTGGCTTGAGAGAAGAAAGGATCACACTCGAGCAGCACTTAGTGCAGTTGCCGGCACAGAACTGTGCAGACGTCTTAGTTATTCTGAGTCTTCATCTCCTTTCATCCACTTTTTATGAATTCGCTTATAATGCTGGAAGCGTGCGTGGCCTCCGGGGTCTTAGGTTCAGCCTGCGTGGAACCCTGAGCTAACGAACGGTCTCTAAGGGCACTTCCAACTTTCATACTTGGCTCTATTTAAAAAAAAAAAAAATTCACCAAACTATCTAAAATAAATGGGAGTTTTGCAATTAGCTTCTTATTGTCACCGAACTCAGTAACGAGGGGGCTGAGGGCTTGTTCCCCTTCTACCATTTTTTTTTATTTCGGCATATTATGGGGGTACAGATTTTAAGGTTTCAAAAAATGCCCTTCCCCCCTCCTCCCACAAGTCTGAGTTTTCAGTGTGACCATCCCCCAGACGGTGCACATCTCACTCTTTATGTATGTCTATACCCGCCCCCCTCCCCGCTCCCCCCTGCCCAACACCCTATTACTGCAGTACCTATGTGTCCACTTAGGTGCTGCTCAGTTAATACCAGTTTGCTGGTGAGTCCATGTGGTGCTTGTCTTTCCATTCTTGGGATACTTCACTTAGTAGTATGGGTTCCAGCTCTAACCAGGAAAATATTGTTCACCAAGACGAACGTCTCCACTCACTCTCAGGTAGCTACGCAGAGTGACACCACCTAGTTAGGGACTCTGCATTCTCACATCAGCAGAATCTCGCAATCTGTCGTGATAATGCCCCATGCTCCACCGAGGGGACGGGCCGTGGAACGCAGGGTTAATTATGCGTGCTCTATACAGGGTCTTGGCAGGGCAGGGTCACGGTCACGGAGGGTGACCATGTGCAGTCAGCCCACTTGCCCTCCCCAGCCCTCACGCTGCAGGGACTTGTCCCCCCACTTGTCCCCCTGCAGCCTGGGGGACATGCAGTGCCATTTTTCTGTGCAGTCATACGCGTTCTTCACCTTTGCAAGGCAATTTACGGCGAGCAAAAGGCATTCATGGACAATACTTCATTAGAGTCACCAATAAGCTCAGGAAGCGGCAGACAAAGGGATATTGCCTGTATTTGTATAACTGAGGAAACCGGGGCTCAGAAAGACCGAGTCTTGCCCGTAGTCACGAAGCCGGGCTCTGGCAGGACCAGGACTCTGGTGCCAGGCCCTGGGACCCCCAGCTCGGGGTCACTGCTTCCAGGGTCGTGCCCCCCAGAGGCGGGTTTGCAAGCACAGGTGGCCGCAGGAGGCCGAGCACCCTCCGTCCCCGACCACCCACCCCCACCCTCTCCGCACGCGTGAGTTCCCCTCTCTAACACCGCCCGAGACCTTTCATTATTGTAATCTCTTTCAGTGGTGTCTAAATCCGATTACTCACTTCCCCGTCACCCTAAACGGATCGCCGGAAGCACAGCTCACCTTCTTTCCCACCCAAGGTCGTCATTAGAGACCTTGGCTGGCTGTGACCCCGAGATGCTCCCGGGCGTTAAATTATTCAGAACTTGCTCCTGCGCCGCTGGGCTGCAGACCGCTCCTGCCCAGCAAGGCTTTGCTTCACGCTGATTCTCATTTTTTCCTCGCTGTCGGCTGCTGTTTCTGGCCACGTTTCTCCTGCAGGCAGAGGAGAGAGACTGTGGTCTCAGGCCTCAGGGCTCCAGGCAGCTCCTCTGCACCTGCCCCGCCGTGACTCACCCTGAGGCCACACCTGCTGAGACGTCCCCTCCTGCTGCCAGGAGAAACGTGCGCACCTGGCTGGGGAGCCCCTGCCTTTCTGCTCTGGAGCCCCCCCCCCAGCCTCCACCCCTTCCCCCTCCCCACACACCTGAGCGAGGTTCTTAAGGCTCCAGTGCATATCGTGCTCTGTCAGGCTGCTGTGCTGTTTCTCACCCTTTCCTCCCAGGCTGGGCAGACCACGGAGGGCAGGCAGCGTGCCCTGAGGGCAGGTGTCATGGTCTCACCTTCAGTTAAAAAGAACAGGCAGAGAAGTGGGGTTATGCACAGTGACCTTTGACCTCTGGCTCCTTTGCGTCTTTGGACGGACATTTAGTGAGCACCTGTGGTGTACCAGGCTCTGTCCTGGGTGCTAGGTGTACAAATGGTGGCGAAGTCCCTCTAACTTGTCTTTTGTCCCTCTTCCCTGCAGTATCTCACATCAAGATCACACTCTTTCTTTTTTTAGACAGAGTCTCACTGTGTTGCCCAGGCTGGAGTGCTGTGGCGTCAGCCTAGCTCATTGCAGCCTGGAACTCCTGGGCTCAAGCAATCCTCCTGCCTCAGCCTCCCGAGTAGCTGGGACTACAGGGTCACGCCACTTCTCCTGGCTAAGTTTTGTGTTTTCAGTAGAGATGGGGTCTCACTCTTGCCCAGGCTGGTCTCAGTCTCCCAACCTCAAGCAATCTTCCCCCCTCAGCCTCCCAGAGTGCTGGGATTGCAGACTCCCGGCCAACCGCACACTCCTTTGTCTGCCTTGTTGCAACAGCTTCCAAAGGGGGTCTTCTTCCTCCATTCTCACCGTCGTTCGGCTGCTAAGCACCCTGGAGCCAGAGCAGCCTCCGCCTGGGCACTCTCCAGCTCAGCACGACCCCACCACCTCGGGATCAAGTCCTGCATCTTGGCCGGGTGCGGTGGCTCACGCCTGTAATCCTAGCACTCTGGGAGGCTGAGGCGGTCAGATTGCTCGAGGTCAGGAGTTCAAAACCAGCCTGAGCAAGAGCGAGACCCCATCTCTACTATAAATAGAAAGAAATTAATTGGCCAAGTAATATATATATATATAGAAAAAAATTAGCCGGGCATGGTGGCGCATGCCTGCAGTCCCAGCTACTCGGGAGGCTGAGGCAGGAGGATCGCTTGAGCCCAGGAGTTTGAGGTTGCTGTGCGCTAGGCTGACGCCACGGCACTCACTCTAGCCTGGGCAACAGAGTGAGACTCTGACTCAGGAAAAAAAAAAAAAAAAGTCCTGGGTCTTGCACGGCCTGAGCACGAGTGCCCCCCCCCCCCCCCCGGCCTGGAGCCTCACGCGCCAGCCACGGCCCTCCCGGCCCCCAGGCCCGGGTACGCGCTGCTGAGGCCACGGCGATCTCGCCCAGTGACAAAGTGTGCGTGTTCCCGCTCACCTCCAGATCGGAGCCCGCGCTGTGCGCTCTGCCTGCCGGGACACTCTCCCTGACTCTGCATTTTAATTGCCTGTTTTAAGTCCCTCCGCAGAGCGAGCGGTCGCAGGCGTTGCTTCCTCGAGTTCAGGTGCCTGTTGCGGTGAGCTCTGCACAGAGGAGTGAGACATTCCATGCATAGGGTGGGAAGAGGGCGACAGTGTACTTGGGGACCCTGGACCCTCGACAGACATGTTGAAGTGTGTCACTTCAACACGCCGGCTCTTGGGTCATCTTGAAATCTAGGTCTGAAATGGATCGTGTCTTTGCTCTTCCTTCCGGAAGCACCATCAGTAAACATGGCAAATCCAGCCTGCTGTGCCACGAGGGTCCCTGCCACCTGGGCGTGCCACCTGTCACCCACTCAGCGTGGCGGCCGGTTTCCAAGTCATCACATTGTATTTACTACAAATGCAGTCATCATCGGCCCATGGAAACGCCGAGGGTCTCTATGACTGAGCTTCACCGGAGCCCAGGTATGTTCTTCCCGTTGCCGTCTGCCCCGTGCCGCCGCCGCCGTGCTGGCGTCCTGGGTGCGTGCTTCCCCGGCCAGCCCCGCGGAGTGACGAGACGCCGTGCTGACGAGAATTCTGCAGATCACTAAAGCTCACCAATTCCAGCAGCAAAAATCAAATGCATGCAGAACGTTTTGAGTTGAATAGCTCTGAGACAGATGACATGCTTTCTTGCACACAAAATACGAGAAACGTGATTTCACCATTCATTGATGATGTCACTAATAATCGATCGAATCCCATGAAGCCGTCACCCTTGGTAGCTCTGGAGTGGCGAGGCCGTTTTTCCGTGCACTGAATGACGGAGACATGGAACGAGTTCTGAGTGTCCGTGGGGTTTACCCTTCTTCTCTCGTGGCAAGCTGTTGGCAATTTTTCTAAAGGTAGGTTTATAGGCGATTTATTTTCTTCTTTGCACTTTTCTGATGTTTAAGTAAAAGACGTAGTCTATGCAGATTCCTTCAGCAGTAAGTATGTATCTTAAATGGGGAGGCACACCCCTGGAAAACAGTCAGAGGAATCACGGTTTCGGTGGGGACCCAGCGCTGCGGGGAAGCCTGCAGCAGGAGGGACTTCCCTAAAGAAATCGTCTCTGAAAGGTTGGCAACGGCGACGATCGGTGCAAATCTAGGAGTGAATTCACTTAAGACGGGGTGATGAGACCAGGTGCGGTGGCTCACGCCTGTCATCCTAGCACTCTCGGAGGCCGAGGCAGGAGAATCGCTTGAGGTCAGGAGTTGGAGACCAGCCTGAGCAAGAGCGAGACCCCGTCTCTGCTAGGATTGCTTGAGCCCAGGAGTTGGAGGTTGCTGTGAGCTAGGCTGACGCCACGGCACTCTAGCCTGGGCAACACAGTGAGACTCTGTCTCCAAAAAAAAAAAAGGGAGGACGTGATTAGATATTCGGGTCATCTTCCTGTGGCTCTTAGATCCATGAAGACAGTGTCCGAATCCCAGCTGTGCCACTTCCCAGCCGTGGGTGAGGCCCCCCTGCCTCACTCGTAAATTGTCATGGATGCTAAGGAGCTCTGCTGTGTTGTGAAACTTCCCCAGACCGGGGACGGGCCCAGATGACTCAGGGCTCTACGGTGAGACCCGTGACAGCTGGGGAAACTTCTACTAGACTGAGTTTAGTGGGAGTCACCCGTGAACCCAAGTCTCAGGGACTTCGTGGGTACGTGGGGCGTTGAAGCTGGAAAATCCTTTAACTCCTTTCCTTTGGCCCTTAAGGTTTCAGAGTCATAATTTCCAGATGTCCAGAGACCAGAATCGGAGGTTCTCCTCGCTGGGGACTTGTGTCCGACCCACTCCGTACACTCTCGCTGTGAAAATCGGTCTCTCGCTTGGCGAAGCCGCAGCCTCGGGTCTGGCATTCGATGCCTCAGAGATCTCGCCCAGCAGCGGTGCTTTCGGCAGACGAAGGTGTCGGACGAGGGGGGGGCGGGACCACCGGCCTTGGAGAGACAGCCACGGCCACAGGCAAGAAGGACAGACAGACGCTAAACGCTCCCCTACTGAGCACCGAGGAGGAACGGATGCAGCAGGTAAGGAAACTCCAGGTGAGGAGACATGGCCCAGAGCCGCATGGCAGCCGCCGAGACCCCCCCCAGTGGCGTCTCCTGCCAGTTCCCCCCGCCGCCCCGGGAGGGGGGGCCCTGCTGCTCCCTCAAAATCCCATTTTCTTGGTTCTCCTTATCACTGAGGTGACAGGGTGACATTTTTAAACTGCTTGACAAATTCCAAGGGGAAGCCGGAGGGAAAGATTAGAGGTTAAAAATAGTCTCGTTTCCAAAGCGCCGGGGTTTCAACCCAAGCTGACTGCACTTCTAGAGTCCCGTGGCTCCTGCACTGCCAGGCGGGGTCCTGGGGGTCCGGGGGGTCCTGGCAGGTCCTGGGGGTCCTGGGGGGTCCAGGGCTCCCACCTGCACATTGGCCACTCTGCCCCGCCCCTGCCTGCAGGGTCCTGCTGCCGCAGGGCCATGGCCCCCCCTTCCCGGGCGGATTCCCAGGCTCCCAGCCGCCCACCTCCAGGAGGCCCAGCACAGGGAGGCCCTGGCGGCAGGTGGGGAGGACTGGAGGGACAGCCAGGGCCCCTCCCTCTTTCCCTGCCCCGGATGGCGTTTCTGGCAGCCGCTGCCGCGTGCAACTTTACGGACAGCCCTTACTGCCTTTACCGCCTCTTCCTCCTTCCTCCCGCCTGGCTGCCACCCTGGCCCTCGGGCGGGGCCTCCCCGGCCACCTGGACTCGGGTCTCAGCCTCTCCCACCCTCAGCGCCCCAGGCACACGCGTGGGCTCTGTCCCCACGGCACCCCGCCACGGCCCTCCCGTCCCCCTGCGGCCCCCACACTGTCACCTGCGCTCAGGCTCCTGCGACCGGCCTCGTCGTCAGCTCGGCCGAATGTCGTTCTCTCCCCCCAGCATGGAACGTTCCAGACTTCTCGCCCTTGGTTCCGGGTCCTGGCCCAAGAGAAGCTCGCGGTTCACAGATGATTCCCGCCCAAATGTCACGAGCTTTGTCCGACGTTCCTTGGAGCAGTAAGAAACGGCTCGTCAAGAGCGAGTTCCTCCACGCAGCTCGCAGCCCTGGGCGTCCTCCCTGCAGGCTTCGGATCAGCGCACCCCTCCCCTCCCCCGCACACCTCTTCTTTGCATAATCCCCGTAAATCCCCTAAATCAGAGACCCCTCTCTCCCAGTCTCAAGGAGGTGACAAGCCGAAGGAATGAATCTAATGACATAAAGTTGCTGGAAGCTACTCAGATCCCATGTCTGAGTTCTGCAGAGAAGGTGGGCCACCTCATAACCCCTCTTACTACACCCATAGCATTTCCTTTCCCTGCGCCCCCAGTTCCTTGAGATCCCCAAGGTCGTCTCAGGCGTTTCAGTCCTTAAAGCCCCTACAGTTCTCTTTGAACGTGGAAAATGCCAATGAGTGTTTACCATTTTCCCTGGCCGTCTCTGACTCCCCCCTGCCGTGGCTGACCCGGCTCTGTCTCTGACTCCCCTCTGCCGTGGCTGACCCGGCTCCGTCTCTGACTCCCCCCTGCTGTGGCTGACCTGGCTCCGTCTCTGACTCCCCCCTGCCGTGGCTGACCCGGCTCCATCTCTGACTCCCCTCTGCCGTGGCTGACCCGGCTCCGTCTCTGACTCCCCTCTGCCGTGGCTGACCCGGCTCTATCTCTGACTCCCCTCTGCCGTGGCTGACCCGGCTCTATCTCTGACTCCCCCCTGCCGTGGCTGACCCGGCTCTATCTCTGACTCCCCTCTGCTGTGGCTAACCTGGCTCCGTCTCTGACTCCCCCCTGCCGTGGCTGACCCGGCTCCGCCTCTGATTCCCCTCTGCCGTGGCTGACCCGGCTCCGTCTCTGACTCCCCCCTGCTGTGGCTGACCCGGCTCCGTCTCTGACTCCCCCCTGCCGTGGCTGACCTGGCTCCGTCTCTGACTCCCCTCTGCCGTGGCTGACCCGGCTCCGTCTCTGACTCCCCCCTGCTGTGGCTGAGCCCGCTGTCCACTGACAGACGCTGTTCTCTGCTCAGGAGGGAGAACCTCGGGAGTGATCCCAGGTTCTCCGTGGGAGGCCAGGGCAGGAGAAGGGCTGCGGGTACTATCGGGTTAACTCGGTGCCTTAAACACAGGGGACCCCAAGGGGGGAGGCAAGGCTACGAGGAGGGTGGGATGTGGTGTCTGAGGGTCCGACAGTCCCAGGGGGCTGCAGGATTTGCGGGATCAGAGGTGGCTTCTCTCGCTTCAGGGTGGTGTGGTAGGCACAGCCTCAGAAGCTCGGCTTAGAACTGAAAGAGACACAAAGCGGCTGCCAGGAATAATGGAGAGTCCAGCGAAGGGGGTTGTCGTTTCGTTCCTGTGTACGTGCTGAGAAAGTCAGACACGTGCTCTTAGGATGCCGTCCACAGCTCGTAGAGAGGGACGGTTTGAGGACAGAGGGTCTCATTCCTATTATTGCAAGACCTCCTTTTGTCCAAACATGACCTTCCTTCTTCTCGTCCTGGGAGACTGGGAGCCCCTGGGCTGCATGGACAGCCCCGGCCGGGGACGGGTCTCAGGTGTCCCTGTGCAGACAGGCAGCCCCGAGACTCCTCCCTTCCAGCAGGCACCTGGACTATATTTATTTATTTTTTTTTTAAATATTTATTTGCTAAGGATGGTCTTCAGCCCTCCAGGAGGCAGGTGGACATTCGCGTGTTCCTTTGTGGAGAGTGACGTTCCCGCCATGTGGGCTGGGCCTCCCCCTCCCGCCTTGACCCGTCCAAACTCTCCTCGTTAAATAATGCAACAGGCTACAGCGGCCCACTTCTCGCTCCCAAATTCTACGCACGTCCTCAGGCATGACCCTGGGGAAACAGGCAGCCGCTTCCAGCCGAGAGAAGAAATCCACGGCAAATCCCGCTTCTGCACGCTGGGGCCTGATCCGAGAAGCCGTGTTAAGCTGTGCCCCTGCGGAGGTGGCAGAGAGTCACCCTGTCCCCGGGACAGCCGGGCAGAGCAAGGCGGGTGGAGGGAAGGTGGGAGCCTCGCAGGGCGCAGGAGGGGGAGCCTCAAGGTCAGCTCAGCACACGGTGGAGACCCGAGCCCCGAGCCAGCCAGGAGCTGCGTGTGTCCCTCACCCCACACCTGGCCGCACCCCCCAGGCAGGGGTGCAGAGAGCAGAGCCGGTGTTGCCAGCCCAGCAGCGAGGGGGGTTGGAGGAAATGGACGGTGGGTGAGAGTGGGGCGCGGGGAAGGGCAGAAGCTGCCCTGGTCTGTCCGAGACTCAGTGAGTCCCAGCTCTGTTCCTGCTCAGGCATCACGCCGACCCCCTCATCACCCACGGTGACACCGAGCTTCCTGGGAGGGACGGGGCCTCTCCGGGCTCCCCGGCCAGGAGGGGTCCCCACAGCCAGGCGCCACTCCCTGGTTCCCGCCTCACGTCCCTCCTTCAGGGCCCAAAGGCAGCAGGGGAACACAGAGGTCAAGAGCTTTGAGGGACGTTCAGTCCAGGTCTGTGTAGGAACAGGGTGTGGGGCGAGGGCGGCCCTCCAGCCGGTCGGCTCCACCTCCAGCTGGGACAGGGTGGGGGACCCAGGGTCAGGCAGGGGCTCCTGGAGCAGGTCAGTGACCTCCAGGTGAGAAACTGCCACCCAGATGGTGCAGGGATGGACCCGGGGTTGAAGTCCCCTCCTCACCCAGCCTCCTGCCAGGACTCCCCGTTGTCCAAACCAGCCCCAGGGACAGGGCAGGAGCCCACTGACACCGTCTATGCCCCTGTGGTCAGCCTCGGGCAGCACCGGGCGGGTGGGCGAGGACCTGCCAGCCACGTGGACCCAGCTCAGACCCTCCCTGAGGGCACCTGCTGCGCAGGCCGGCTGGGTCGGTGCTGGCCCTGCTC